GAATTCTGGGAGTTGAAGTCCACACATCTCCAAGTGGCCAAGGTTGAGAAACACTGCTCTAGTGGGTTGTGTTTTAATTAGAGATTGTTGTACGTTCTACTGTTTTAGAATCTTGTTAGAGGACTTTACATCTGTTCTATACAACGGCTTACTGCCTGAGACAACCTGGTTTGGAAGGGCAGGATGTCCATTTCAAACACCCATAAATAAACAATCCTATACGCCATTGCTGAGGGAGGGGATGGTGGTGCTAAAAGGCTGTCTGTACTTTTCAAAACTTCTTAAAGAAAGAGTGTGGTAAAAGCATCACCATTGTTACTGGATGCAGATCAAAGCCTAGGGCCAGCACCCGATGGCGGGCCCTCGGAGCAAGCAAGATAGCCCGAGATGCTCGTCGGGAACCTATACATCCCCAGGGCGCCTAACTACATACATCTTCCAACAAATGCGATCATCCTTGCTAGCTCGGGCCGCTGGGACTGTCATTTAGCCCCAGCTGAAAACAGATAAAGTAAAACCATCAAATCAGCAACGTTTCTGTCTGCCGTGCTGTTATTAAAGGCACAAGCTGTTTTTTGAGGAAATAAAGCAGGTGAAAACTCTAAACTTAGTCGCCGTAGTGGGGATGTTTCATTCTGAACCACTGCGAGTGAAACCTCGATATAACTCACCCTGCAAAACTGCCACTTCCAAAATTCTCAGAATCTTGCATGGTTTTGTACTTGAAATGGTTCACAATGAACTCTTTTGCAGGCCCCGGATTTCTAGGGCTGCGCGTGCTTCAGAAACAGTTTGGGAGAAGCGTTTAGGACCTTGCAGGAGCACACCACCTCTTTTCTACCACAGTCTGAAGAAAGATGCAGCTGGTTTAATGAACTGTCGAGCCTCTTTAAAACAGCCGCATCTTTTTTTTTCCAGGCTCACCCAGAAGCATGCTGGCTGGGGAATTCTGGGAGTTGAAGTCCACACACCCTAATGTTGCCGAGATTGGGAAACTCCGCTCCAGATGTTTGGGGCTACTATCCCCAGATGGCTGAGGAATTCCAGGACCTCGAGTGCTACCTCATCCGGAAGGCATGACATTAAGGAAGGCGGGTCTATGGCTTTTCTTAAAGGGCCAATTCATTCTCCTCTCTCTTCTTTCCCAGCTGCATTCCATCTCTCCCACTTAGTCTATTCCCCACGACTGTTCAGAGAAATTGCCTCTGCGTGTGTTTTTAATTTGTACTTTTGCACACTTGGGGGTTCATCCTATGCTACAGCCTCCCTCAAGAGATAGGGAACGATAGCATTTGCGTTATAGCAGGACTGATAATGTTTTCATAACGTGCCGCTGCTTGACAGATATGCCCCTTACCCGTTTTCTTGCAGTTTCTGCATCAGAAACACTACACTCCGGTGTCTTTTCTTTTTCTATGGCATTCATTTCATGCTCCATTTTGTTTGCTTGCTCCAAACCGATTGCCTGAGGACTCTTTTACGTGGAAGGTTTTTCTGCTTTGCTACAAGAAAGAAAAAAATAGATTCTGCCCTATTTGAAAATTTCAGGTGTAGAAGTTCTTGGTTCTAAGAGAAAGGAGGGGTCTGTGTGTTTATAAATTAAGATAAAGTGTGCTCTGGATAAATCAGAATTGCTTCCAAGTGCAATTAATTCAGGCATATATTGCCGTCAGCACTTACGTATTTAAACATAAGCATAAATCATATTCTTTGTTGGGGGAGAAATATACCCAAGCATATTAGCTCCTCGTCCTGTAAATTTACAAGCGGAACAATTAGGAAGACAATTAATGGAAGGGAGAGGCAACCCTACAAAGAAATGGAATTAGGGTTGCCAATTTACCAGGGAAAAGTCATTTCCTGCTCCTGGGCCTTTAATTAGTGATTCACTTGGGAGAAAAGCAGCATAGCCAAGTTTTTTGAGGCATGAGGGGAAAAAAAGGATTGTCTGTTACAGCAGCCTGTTCAAGTTGCTGTTAAAGGAGCAAAAATGGTTAGCTAAAAGCTGACAGAGGGTAAGTGAGTACATTCATATTTTTGGGTTCTTTCAAACAGTGTTGCCCTTTTTCCCAGCCAACACTGTTCTGGTGCCTTTTTAACAGCAGATTGATTGATTGATTGATTGATTGATTATATGCCATCAAGTCATTTTCAATTCCTAGCAGCCACACAGATAGATTTTCTCCACGATGATCTGTCCCTAACCTTAACTTTGTACTAGCAATTAAGTTTACAAGTCCTAGTGGATCCTATTTCATTATTGTTGTTGTTGATGATGTTATTTATTAGATGTCTAAGACCACCAAATCCAAGAGGCAAAGCAGTATAGAAAATGATAAACGTCATAAGAACACAGAAATACCAACGTGTTGGAGAAAGACACAAACGGGAACATTTCAACCACCTATTATTAATCAAGCAGGACTACAACTAAGTTTGCTGCACATTGCAGCCTTAGTCAATCTGGGGATTATTTATTTGCTTGTTTATCAAATAAAGCAATAATAACACCGCCCAATTGCATGAAGACTACCTAAACCAGAAGGAGGACATAAAAATAAAAGAAATGGTTTTAGTTTAGTAGGAAGTCTAGGGCTTACGTCAGTGTTGTCCAAACTTGGCCACTTTAAGATGAGTGGACTTCAACTCCCAGAATTCCCCAACCAGCATCTTAATGGGACAGGCTGGCTGGCTGG